CCATTTCTTCTTGTCTAACCTCTTCCTCAGGATGACTTCCTGCTCTTCACTATTTCACCTCCAGATTTTCCAATCTTTTCTCTGTCCAGATGACACCAAGAAACTTCTTCCTGTCTCTCTGATCACTGTTGCTGCAGTAGTCCAGTCACCTGGAAGCTCTTTCTGACCACCAGAGACTTCAACAGCTCCTCTCTGAACTCCACACAACTTTCTTCTTTCTTCAACTTTTACCATTTGATCTTCTTCTCTGATTTTACTCTTTTCCTCTTCTTCATCACAACAGTCATCCTCCACTCCACCGTCCGATGCCTCTGCCACAACCTTACAGTCTCCAATCTTCCCCAAGTTACTGTATCTCTTCTACACAGAAAGTATTCTACCTGTGACCTCCTGGCTCCACTCTTACAAGTCATCCTGTGTTCTTTCATTTTTTGGAAACAGTAATTTCTATTCTCTTTGCAAAATCCACCATCTGACCTTCCTGGTTCCTTTCCCTGACACTAAACCTGTCCACCACTTCCTCATCTCCTCTGTTTCCTTCACCAACATGTCCCATTGAGATTAAAAAACATTTTTTAAGGAAGTCCAGGCCAATAGGTGGTAAAAAATTTTACAACAAAAAATGCCATACAAATAATTATTAGAAACAATCACAATTTAAGGAAATCATTTCTAGTGCTCTCAATCTGGACTTAAAAGTGCTCAATGAAAAAGGTTCAGTTAATCTACAGTTTTTTTGCAACATGTTCCATGTAGACAAAGCTGAGTAAACAAATACATTTTTCCTCCCAATTCTGTGAGAGAAAATGGAAGAAAGATCAAGAAATGGTCATTTGAACGCAGAAAGTAAGAATCAACGCTTCTCTGTGTGATTAAACCACAGATGAAGGAGGGAAACAGCCCAAGCATGGCCTTATAAATAAAAATGTACCAATGTCCCAACCTCCTGGTGGACTCAAGTGTACAGCTCACAATTATGAGTCGAGGCTTTACAGGTAGTTAAACCTCAGAGAAGCATGAAAACTGGATCAATTTGATGAAGATTTTGAGCTGAGGCGTTCATTATTCTGTAATCTAAAATAGATAAAAATGTTGCTGCTTTTTCACCTTAAAAAATTATTTCTTTCAAAAGAAAAAGACTTGTTTCAGATTAAATTTCTTCACAAGATTATCATTATGTGGCCTAAAAAAGAGGGAGTCATGAAGCAATACACCAAGGTATTTATAAGTGTGAACCACCTCTATATTTTCCTTACAAGTGGACACAATGGGCCTCATGCAAGAACCGTTCGTACGCACAGATTTGTTCTTAAATTGTGCGTACGAGTGATTTAGGAGAATTTGTGGCATTCACC